CTATACCCCATCCTGTCCTTCCCCACTGAGCCCTTGGAACCCCTGACAGTGAGATAGAGGAAGAAGCTCTCCTCTGCCTCCCCCTTGCACAAGCCCATCAAACAGCCTCTGTACCAGGGAAAGGAGAGAGCTGTAGAAAACAGAAAAGGGTTCCCCAGAGGAAGGCCTTGCTGAGTTTGAGTCCCACCTGAGAGCAGCCCCCAGCTCAGGACACTGCTGCTATTGTCTCTAACAACTTTGGGACTGACTGGGTACCCAAGACGCTTTGATTTTTTTTCTTTGCCCTATTTGCCAGAAAGCAGGGATAGTTTTTGTTTCTTTTTGGCAACAGCTACAGAGGGGTTGACTATGTCTGAAACATAGTGAGCAACTGAATGTCTACTAGCTGGCCACCTTCCCATGGAACAGAAGCCAGAAGAGCCAGGCAAGCAGAAGAGTTGATAGGGTCTGCCCTGCTTCTCCCAGTGGTGCTCAATGAGGGAAGTGGAGAAAGGAGAAAGGAGACCTTCAATGCCAAATCAGGGAGGACTCTGGGGAGGTGCTGAGAAACAGGGTTCCCAGAGCTTGCCAGGTCAGACAAAATTTGATGGCTACTACTCCAGGAACCCCCTCCCCTAGTAACATCTTACCCTTGCCTGCTGGCAAGAGCTCCCTGAGCCTGTAAGGAGACCGACCGGCAAGATTGTTCTCCAACCTATTTCTCAAGGCCAGAGGCCAAACTTCTTCCTAGTCTTTCACTATATTACCATTTCTATTCTACTTCCATATCCAGTGGAGAGGGAGGGAAGTTGTGTTTAGCTGTAGACCCCAAGAGCAATCTGGCGGCCTGCACAGCCTAGTTTAGAAGCTGTTTCTATTCCCAGAGGATTGCAGGGGGTATACTTCCTTTATTCACAGCCATCTCTACCAGTCATTTGCTGCTTCCTAAATAGTTAAATGTGTCTAAGGAAGGGGGAGGGCCATTTGGGAGGGAAGGACCACCCAGACAGAAGGTCTAGAAAGCTCTGCTCTGGCAGAGTCTACCAGGAGGGAAAGAGACTGGGCAGAACACCTATTGAAGGCTAACCTGACCTGTCCTTGGCCTGAGCTGTCTGCCACCACCCAGGATGATTGTATCAGGGGCCTTTCTGCCATGGTGAGATGCTGCTTTGGTTCTTAGCCTCTCTCCTTCCCCCACACTCAAAGTGAAGGGCCACTCTCTAATCTCTGGCTACAGTCTCTGGCACCAAATACTTGATAGGTGCGTGCTATTGGCCTAAAGCTACCCACAGAGAAGGGGCAAACCTTCTCAGGCTTGGCCCCTTCATGTAATGGGGGAAGGAAGGCTACACAGGGCCCTTACTTCCCTCCTCCAAATCTCAGGGTCATTGACTCTGCCTGGCCCAGATAACAGAAGCCAGTCAAAAGCTGGTGAGAAACCTGGAGAGTGCCAGGGAAAGAAGGCCTATGTTGGCTCCTCCATTAACTCCCACATGGACCTTCCCCTGAAGCCAAACTGGTCACTTGCCCCAACACTGTGTGTATGTGAGTATACTCAACCTCACTTTTCCTAGCACTATTCCTCAGCCATATATATTATCTCATTTTATCCTTATGTCAATATTGGAGATTGATTTGCCCAAGATCTCACAACCAGTAAATGAAAGATAACCATGTCTTCTCCTTTTAGATTCGGTTATCCTCCCATCTCTTCCATCCAATTCCTCTAACTTCTGGAAACTTCCCTGAATACCCCCAGCTCAGAGTGGTTTCCCCTGTGGTCTCTGTGCTCCACCTCAGGCTACAAACTAAAAAGCAGGTACCCTGCAACCCCAGAGCTCAGCAAAGGAGTAGACACATAAGTGACCCCAAGACATATTCATCTCATGAATCAACAATTAGATTTAAAATCCTTGGTGATAATGAATTTAATTAAATTGCTTTTTTTCTTTGTTATTTGGAGAATGTCTCTGATTTGGGCCCAAAACATACCCAGGTCCAGTGGAAGTGACAGTAAAATAAGATGTTCCACTGTGAGGCCGGGC